ATTATCTAAATCAAATAATTTATATCATACTTTTCTATTTATCCATTCTTCTATTTGTTCAATAAACACATCTGCCATTTTATTTAATTTGACGTTTATAGGTTCAAAATATTATTGTTTAAATAGTTAATACACGTTATTGACACATTAAGTCAATCATTATTTTTATCATCATTCTATTTTACATCATTCATTTTTTGATTTTTATAACAACAATAATTATATAATAATATTAATAATATATCATATACTTAGACATTGTTTTTGTATTACACTTTTCAATATAAAGACTTCAGAAATGGGTTGATAATAAAGAAAAACATAGTGTGTATATTTAAATAACATCATTCATTATTTGAAATTTCAATTAGGAATATTCCATAATCTTTTATTTACAACTTTTAACAATGTTCTATGCATATATTCCAACTCAGTCAATACTTCAATCAAAAAACAATTGTTTTGATTAGATAGCAACTTTATTATCATTTTAATTTTAGTAAATTCATATTTTGATCCATTCAGTATTTTAACAATGATTTGACTTGATATTATATTTCAATAGAATATGTTATATGGTTTAATGTGTCAGACATTTCAAACATAGAGATAAAACTATAAAACAATTTATCAAATACTTATTACATATTTCTATTATCTTTCATTCAATAACTATCAATAATACCATGTTTGTTATTTAAACTACTTTATTATTTAATAATATTCTTTTGTTTTACAGTCGTTTAATTCAAATATCACAGGTTGTTCAATCTCAACTAAATATAACTTGTTTAAAATATTATATTTAATATGGTTGTAAAAAAACACTTTTAATTTCAATATCATACACACACAATTCACTTTTCTTTTTTTTTCTTTCATTACAAGTTATTAATGTATTATTTTACCAGTTCAATTTTGTTTTGATAGTACATTAATTACTGACATACAAAATTAATAAATTAAAATATTTAATTTCAAAATAATGTTTATAAATGGTTAAATTTTATTAGACATTTGTTATTTTATTGTTTTGTTTAAATTATTTTCATATATTCTACATATTAGTTTTGATTGGATCACTTTGTTTCAATTAACAAAACTTATACATAATATTTATAAGAAATATATTCAAGAAAGATGGTAAAAATAAATTCTTTTTTTTTCTAACTTGTGTTATTAATAAGTTTTAAACTAAGTTTTAATAAAAAAAATTGAAGATAGACATAACCAATTACTGTGTTAATACTTTATTTATAATTATAAACTCAATTATGAATAGAACTACCATTTACAGTTTTTGTTTAGGAAAATATATTTATCAAAAAATTTTTCTCATTCTATACTTTGCAATAAAAAACAGAGAATTAACAAATAGATAGAAGTTGTGTTAAAGAAAAAGGATTTTATAATGTCTTTTTCTTATTGAAAATTAATAAGAAGAAATAATAAAAAATTGATTAGAAACAGACAAGACAATAGTTTATTTTAAATGTTCTAATGAAAAATAAAAAACAAAAAATAATTGAACTATTTATTTGTCATTATTTAAATGAGTCAATACAAAACTAACAATGGAAAGAGTAATGAGTTGTGTCAATTAGAAAAGATGTTTAGTAGAATACAAGAACAATCAACATCATATAATGTTGAGTTGATTTTGTATTTGGTTGAAAAAACTAAAGATGATGTTTGTTAAATACGTTAGTCAATACTTTTCTCAACATACTTACACTTTGTAGCCTGTTCAAATAATGAGGGCGTTTGACTACTTTTTTAGAAGTACTTCTCAAAAACTATTCATAATGAAGATTCATTTAATTGATGCTCTTATTCGTTTTATTCGTAAAAAAGAATTACAATATTCTTTTTATTGTATGTCACGTGCTACAATGACTGCACTTTGTAGAAATAATTGTGACCTTACACGAGAAGACATTGTTTGTTTCACTACACATTTTCATAAATCAGTATAATGGAATTAATAATTAGGATGCAGCACATCAATTATTTATTCTATGGGAGTCAAGAAAAATTCATATTAAATTCCTTCAAATGTGGCAGTCATTACTTGAACATCCTGAAAGAGACGGTTATGTTTCATTCTTAACTAATCAAATTTTATTTATCCCTCTACCAAATGAAAATAGAGAATTGCTCATTAATGAGATTGAAAGTAATTTTGACTCTTGTGCAGCCTCACTCGATGGAGACAAAATTAGTATTGTTGCTGACACCAACCAAGACACTAACTATATAATTAATTGGCTTAGACAAAGGTATAGCTCAAATTACACAGACAACATTTATGATCCAACACACTCTAAAGCAATAATCAGATTTCAAAATGAAGACTGGATGCCATATGACACCTTTTCTTTTGGATCAGGATTTGTTACAATGAATAAAAATGATATTCCACCTAAATTTGTAGTAGATGGAGTTACATACTATCTTCATCTCAAAAGAAGTTCAAGAAGTTGTTCAAGAAGACGTTCCTTTTCAAGAAGCTCATCTTCAAGCAATAGAAACTCTTTCAGATCACCTTACCATTCACCCACAAGAAGATCATCACCACCGCCTTTTGAATATAGAGATTCATACAGGTCTTCTCTTGATATAGACCGTTGTTCTTTTTCAAGAGACCTTTCAAGAGATCGCTCAAGAAGTCGTTCCTCAACTATTTTGTTTAGAAATTCATTCAAAAATGATTCTCCAGAAAGAAGGAGGTCAAGGTCTAGAAGAAGATCATTTAGTTCAAGACAAAGTAGGTCGTATAATAATAGGTCGAACTCAAGAAGTAGAAATTATAGATTAGATCATTCTAATCCTAACCATTCTCCAAGATAGTCAACTCATAAAATAAACTTTTTATTTCTAATTTTTCTTTACTAACAATTTTTGTTTCCCAATGTAATTAATTTTTTATGAACTATAAAATCAATGAATTATATTACTTCATGTATAACTCGTAAAAATTCTGGCATTGAAGAAACCAGAGCTATTGAAATTATTAAAAATGGAGAGTATGGATTTATGGCAATGGTTGATGAAGAAAATAATAGTGGTTATGGTGTACCAATTAATTATGCATTTGACGGTGTTCAAAACCTTTATTTTCATGGAGGAAATGGAAAAAAAATGAATATTTTGAAGAAAAATCCTAAAGTCTCTTTTACTATTGTTGGGAAGACATTGGTAGTTCCAGAACAATTTACTGATCACTATGAGAGTGTAATGTGTTTTGGAACTATTTGTTTTGATTTAAGCAAAGAAGAAAAAATAAAAGGAATGGAATTAATTATTGATAAATATTCTTCTGAGTATAAAGCAAAGGGAATGAAAATGGTTGCTTCTGCAATAGAAAAAATGAGTGTGTACAAATTGGTTATTAACTCATTTTCAGGAAAGGTTAATAAATAAAGTTTAATAAAACTCTTTTTATTAAAATAATTTGTTTGAGAAAAATAACAAAAAATGAACGCTTTAAATAACACAAAATTTAATAAAATCAATTCTTATAACATATTTTACTTTAACTATAATTAAAAAAAAACATTGTTTTTATTATTATTAATCTAACAAAAAAGAAAAATAAAATAATTAATAGAAAAATATTCTTTTATCAATAAGATTAAACTATATTAATATAATTTAAATCAATTAAAGAATAAAGAAAATATTATAAGTTAAAGTTCAAATATAATAATGTTAAATCTTTTTAATTTTTGTATAATACAAAATAAATCTAAAGAAATAATCACTTTTATTAAAACAGATTCTAATAAAATTATTTGAATTTTTAAAATAAAAATAAAATAATTGATGAAAAAGTTATGTTGATTTGTAATTTTATTGAGATTTATTATTTGCTTTTTATTTAAAATAATTGGACATAATTAAAATAGTACTTTTGGTTATTAAGAAGACTTAGATTATATTGAATACTTCAAATGATAAATTGATTAATTCTTATTATAATTTTTCTATTTTTTTATGAAAATATTCTCCTTTTTAAATTATTTTATTTTTTATATAAAATGTTTTATAATTTAGAAAGGAAATAGATTTACTTTTAATATGCTAGAGAAGATTTTATATATCTTTATTACTTCTGTTATTTTCGAATTTTTCAATTCAATTAATTGTTAAGTTATAAATATGAAAATATCAGTTATTTTAAATAATAACATTTAATTCTGTTTGAAGTTAATGCAATTTTTATTATTATTTTAAAATATCAACAAAATACTTTTTATAAATTCATTAACTTTACTGATAAATACCCATTCACTAAAAAGCTTTTTTAAAAAGAATATTTATGAACCATTCCAAAACTAAACCAACTAAATTATTTTTCTTAAGAATAAACTGAGGCCTTTAATTTTGAAGACATCTTTGTTCTTTATTTCGACTTTTTGTTAATCATTTTTATTTTATGTTATACCAAATTCATTACCTTTTTCTTCATTTAATCATTTTATAGGCAAACAAGATGAAAATAGTTTTTGAATCAAAAATAATGAGAAGTGCTTTTAACCATTAAAAGTGACAAAAGACAAAAATCAAACATTTATAGTTTTTATATAATAAAGAAAATTATAATAAATAGAATAGATTTATAACGTAATAAAAAACCCAAAAAAATAGGTAAAAAGTATGGAATAAAAAATGATAATAAAGAAAAAGAACTCAAAAATAACAAAGGTAACAATAAAAGTAAAAAAATAATAGGACCAAAAAGAATAAAATTATGGGAAAATAGAGAAAAAATAGAGTAACTATAAATAAAAAAATATAACTAAAAAACATGATTTGTAAATAATGTCGAACCCTCACAGTATTATTCCTAGACCACGATCATCACCATCTCAAGACGATTCACCTACA